TCCTTAACTGTGACATCTGCCTTAATAAATACAACTTTGTCTTTGCCAAAAACGGTTGCGATTTCGTCGACGATTCTGCTTTCGGCGTCTTCAGAAGAATCTACGATTGCTACACCCTGAAAGAATTCTAGAACATGTTCGTAGTATTTTGGCTATTTACTTTTGCTCCATTTTTAAGAAGGTGTTTAACCATAGCTAGACCAATGCCTCCGGCGCCCCCAGTAATGAAAGCCACTTTTCGAACAACAGAATCCATTTCTTGTCTCGATATTAGTGTTCTCAGACGACTAACTTGTTTATGAGTCGTTTTTGTAATTTTTTTTCTTAAGATATGAAACTCGTAAGTGATAATAAAGTGCATCAATTGATAGCTCAGACCTGCGTTCTTTACGTCAATATGTTTTTCTGTATTGTAAGTTATGATAATGGAACATTTAAAAAAAAAACTTGGTTTATTGCTCTAGTACATATATTTTTCTACATTATATGTTGGTACTTAAACTTTCATGGTTTTGTAGTGAGGTACCACAACTTCGTACGCGGGTTTATCTTCTTCAATCATCCACAACGATCCACTTTTGCCCTTCTTGATAGCTTCAATCAGTCCTTCTCCTATGCGTTCCGGTCTAAAAATACGTTTACAATTCCGGTACCACGAAGTACCACGCTTACTTACGCCTGTGCTACTAAGCTTACGGTACTAAATTCTAGATCTTTCAATTCTGGGAATAAAAAACCATCTGGTCGTTCAGACAACGGTGTGCTTGATATTTTTTGTAAAATTCTTCACCACCCAAAGCTTTCCCTAAACCAACCAATCCATGTTTCGTAGTGCAATAAATCGGAGCTACTTGGAACGTATGGAAACCACAAGTTGAAGCCGTATTAACTATAAGACCTTCATCTCCAGATTTGTACTTTGGAAGGTACTTTTTCATAGCGAGATAAGTACCTTCGATAACAGCAACCTGAATTTCAAATCTTTAGTGCTAGTTTTTTGACAAAGTTGACTCACCAAATTCAGTTCTACGGTACTTTTCCAGTCGAATTCGTCCACTTTTCCAGCATTGTTAATCACAATGTCCAGTTGGTTATAGGTTTTTATGGTGGTTTCGAAAACTGCTTCAAGTTCTGTTTTCTTAGTAACGTCTGCTTTTATAAAAGTAGCTTTATTCTCGCCAAAAATTTTAACAATTTCGTTTATAGCTCTGAATCCTGCTTCCTCAGAAATGTCTACTATTGCGACGCCCTAAAACAAAAACCAGAGACCCCATTTTTCCCTACTCTATGGTTGATTTTTACCTTCGCACCATGTTGAACCAGGTTTTTAACCATTGCTAGACCAATTCCGCCAGCTCCTCCAGTAACAAGGGCAACTTTTCCAGCAATAACGGTCATGGTTTGTCTGGAAATGACACTGTTGTGGAAAACTAAAATATTTATATGCTGAAAATGAACAAAATTTATAGTATTAGATTATAGTTTTTGAAATAGAGGACAGGCGTGATTGATTGTCTTTCAAAGCTGTTAAGGTTTATGGCGAGTACTTTCTTGATATGGGGTCATTTATAATAGAATTACGAATACTCTATTAATAAATTTTTAAATTAGTTGAGAAAATTGGTCAGTTATTACGACAGGATTTGTATGACTCCTTAAGTATAGTTCCACAAATCCCAATTTGAAATAGGTCTCCGGCTGTCTCTTCGTCTGTCCGTCTGTGTTCGTCAAAGTCAGTCTTATCTGAGCAAGTACTAGCCCCGCCCACCCGCCCCTGTTTTCTCAGAGGATAAGTCATTTGTCAAAATAAGACTTATCTTAGCAAGTACTACCCTCTGAGAAAATAAAGGACGGGTGGACGGGGCTAGTACTTGGTAACATAAGTCTTATTTTGGCAAATCACATATCCTCTGAGAAAAGAGAGGGCGAGTGGGCGGGCCTACTTGTTAAGATAAAACTGATTTTGCCACTATTAATCTTTTTTTGAAATTTAAAGATGTTAAATTCCTAAATCTACCCAAAATTTGCAGAATATCAGAGTTTTTTCTTGTGAGTTATCATTGCAAATCAGGAACGGCTCAAGCTATTTTCATAAAAACTTATGGGAATACAATACTGTTCCAATCCAAATTGATATACGTGTCCTTTAAAAATGTTGATGACGTCATCACAAAATTCTGTAAAGTAAAAACTCAACGCAAAATTGTCGGATATGTTTCACTGTACTTTAGGTGCCAGGGGAAGTTCTGTCTGTTTTCGACCATTTTTTTTTTAATGTAAAACATTCTCGAAGGTCCCAAATGTCATTTTTTTAATGTGAAATCTTCTCGGGGGTCTCACCTGTCTATGTTAAAAATGTAGAACCTTCTCGGAAGCCCTAAATGTCTTTTTAAAAATGTAAAACCTTCTCGAAGGCCTCAACTGTGTTTTTAAAAATGTGGAACCTTCTCGGGGGTCCCAAATGTCTTTTTTTAAAGATGTGAAACCTTCTCGGGGGCCCCAACTGTTTTTTTTTTTTTTTAAATATAAAACCTTCTCTGGAGCCCTAAATGTCTTTTCTTTTAATGTAAAACCTTCTTCCTTGTAATGGTTGGGATCCCCGAGAAGGTTTCACATTCTTAAAAAAAACGTTTGGCGCCCCCGAGAAGGTTTTACATTTTAGATAAGATAGTTGGGACCCCTGAGAAGGTTTCACATTGTTAAAAAAAGACATTTGACACCCCCGAGAAGGTTTTTACATTTTTAAAAAAGACAATTCGGACCCCCGAGAAGGTTTCACATTAAAAGCAAAGACAGTTGGGGCCCCCGAGAAGGTTTCACATTAAAAGAATAGACATTTGGAGCCCTTGAGAAGGTTATAATTTTTAAAAAAGTTGGTTGTGATCCCCGAGAAGGTTTCATATTCTTTAAAAAAAAAACATTTGGCGCCCCAGAGAAGGTTTCACATTAAAAGAAAAGACATTTGGAGCCCTTGAGAAGGTTATCATTTTTAAAAAAGATGGTTGGGATACCCGAAAAGATATTTGAAGCCCTTGAGAAGGTTATCATTTTTAAAAAAGATGCTTGGGAAACCTAGAAAGACATTTGGAGCCCTTGAGTACCAAATTCAGGGCTATTGCGTTTTTCCAGCCATGTTCGTCGACCACTCCGGCATTGTTAATTACAATATCTAGTTGCTTGTACGTCTGTATGGTAGTTTCAAAAGCACCTAACATATATAACAACCAGTTTAAAAATATATACTTAAATAAAGGTGGTACCTTCTAGTTCTGCTTTCTTTGTAACGTCTGATTTTATAAAAATAACTTTATTCTCGCCAACTATTTCCATAGCTTTGCGTCCTGCTTCGTCAGAAATATCTACAATCCCTATTCCCTGAAATCAAAAATTAACTTAGGTACTTTTGGTGAGTACCTTACCTTAGCGCCATGTTGAAGAAGACTTTTAACTATAGCAAGGCCGATCCCTCCGGCCCCTCCAGTTACAAAGGCCACTTTTCCAGCAACAAAGTCCATTGTTTTTCCAGTGAGAGTGATGAATAAATGGTACTTAATTTGATCTTGAATTAAATATTTAGAACTGTTAACGAATAAAAAGTTATCGCATTTGATAAGACATTTTTAAACAATTTTTGAGGTTAGAGAACACCCACGATTGTTATGATTTTGAGACAAACATTCACCTAGAATTATCTACTTTTTATAGTTCTGCAATAAGGAGTTGCACAGTCATGACCAGGTTTATCTTCTTCGATAACCCATAAAAGGCCAACAGTGAATAAAACTCAAGTATTTGCTAGTTTTTATTTCTCATTTAAGAACCACTGAATGGATTAATGATCAAACTTTCATGGTTCTGTAGCACGGTACTACAATCTCGTACGCAGGTTCATCCTCTTCAACGACCCAAAAAGACCCATTTTTACCCTTCTTAATAATTTCAATGAGTGCTTCTCCCACACGGTCTGGTCTACAAAAGTTTAACAATCCAGTTTTGACTTCCAACACTTAGGTACGCATACTTACGACTGCAAAACAGAATTTAAATCTGCCAGTTGCTTTTCATGTAATTCTGGAGACCAAAGCACTTTCTGGTTTTTGATGATCGGAGTGTCCACCAACCCTGGACAAATGGTCAAAACGCGAACTTTATAATTTTTGTAAAATTCTTCGTCACCCAAAGCTTTTGCAAACCCGATTAACCCGTGCTTAGTTGTACAGTAACTAGGAGCAACTGACATTACTCGAAAACCACAGATGGAAGCTGTGTTGACAATGACACCTTCCTCTCCAGATTTATACTTTGGAAGGTAGTTCTGCATGGCCAAATAAGACCCTTCCATTACGGCGCACTACGAATGCGACTTTATACTTGTTTTGGTGACCAGAAAACTTACCAGATTTACGGCCACTACTCTCTTCCAGTTAACTTCATCCACTATTCCAGCGTTGTTGATGACGATATCCAGTTGTTGATAAATTTCTATAGTTTTGTCAAAAGCTTCTAGAAAATCATTGAACGTCGTCGTATCATGCACTAATGGAAAATTTTACCTTCTAGTTCTTCCTTAACTGTGACATCTGCCTTAATAAATACAACTTTGTCTTTGCCAAAAACGGTTGCGATTTCGTCGACGATTCTGCTTTCGGCGTCTTCAGAAGAATCTACGATTGCTACACCCTGAAAGGATTCTAGAACATGTTCGTACTATTTTGGCTATTTACTTTTGCTCCATTTTTAAGAAGGTGTTTAACCATCGCTTGTCTCGATATTAGTGTTCTCAGACGACTAACTTGTTTATGAGTTCGTTTTTGCAATTTTTTTTCTTAAGATATGAAACTCGTAAGTGATAATAAAGTGCATCAATTGATAGCTCAGACCTGCGTTCTTTACGTCAATATGTTTTTCTGTATTGTAAGTTATGATAATGGAACATTTAAAAAAAAAAAACTTGGTTTATTGCTCTAGTACATATATTTTTCTACATTATATGTAGGTACTTAAACTTTCATGGTTTTGTAGTGAGGTACCACAACTTCGTACGCGGGTTTATTTTCTTCAATCATCCACAACGATCCACTTTTGCCCTTCTTGATAGCTTCAATCAGTCCTTCTCCTATGCGTTCCGGTCTAAAAATACGTTTACAATTCCGGTACCACGAAGTACCACGCTTACTTACGCCTGTGCTACTAAGCTTACGGTACTAAATTCTAGATCTTTCAATTCCGGGAATAAAAAACCATCTGGTCGTTCAGACAACGGTGTGCTTACTAACCCTGGGCAAATCGTGATGACACGTACTTGATATTTTTTGTAAAATTCTTCACCACCCAAAGCTTTCCCTAAACCAACCAATCCATGTTTCGTAGTGCAATAAATCGGAGCTACTTGGAACGTATGGAAACCACAAGTTGAAGCCGTATTAACTATAAGACCTTCATCTTCAGATTTGTACTTTGGAAGGTACTTTTTCATAGCGAGATAAGTACCTTCGATAACAGCAACCTGAATTTCAAATCTTTAGTGCTAGTTTTTTGACAAAGTTGACTCACCAAATTCAGTTCTACGGTACTTTTCCAGTCGAATTCGTCCACTTTTCCAGCATTGTTAATCACAATGTCCAGTTGGTTATAGGTTTTTATGGTGGTTTCGAAAACTGCTTCAAGTTCTGTTTTCTTAGTAACGTCTGCTTTTATAAAAGTAGCTTTATTCTCGCCAAAAATTTTAACAATTTCGTTTATAGCTCTGAATCCTGCTTCCTCAGAAATGTCTACTATTGCCACACCCTAAAAAAAACCAGAGACCCCATTTTTTCCTACTCAATGGTTGATTTTTACCTTCGCACCATGTTGAACAAGCTTTTTAACCATTGCTAGACCAATTCCGCCAGCTCCTCCAGTAACAAGGGCCACTTTTCCAGCAATAACGGTCATGGTTTGTCTGGAAATGACACTCTTGTTGGAAACTAAAATATTTATATGCTGAAAATGAACAAAATTTATAGTATTAGATTATACTTTTTGAAATAGAGGACAGGTGTGATTGATTGTCTTTCAAAGCTTAAAGGTTTATGGCGAGTGCTTTCTTGATATGGGGTCATTTATAATAGAATTACGAATACACTATTAATACATTTTTAAATTAGTTGAGAAAATTGGTCAAAGTTGTTACGACAGAATTTCTATGACCCCTTCAACAAATCCCACTTTGAAATAGGTCTCCGGCTGTCTTTTCGTCTGTCCGTCTGTCCGTCTGTCCGTCTGTCTGTCCGTCTGTGTTCGTCTAAAACAGTCTTATCTGAGCAAGTACTAGCCCCACCCACCCGCCCCTGTTTTCTCAGAGGATAAGTCATTTGTCAAAATAAGACTTATCTTAGCAAGTACTACCCTCTGAGAAAATTAAGGACGGGTGGGCGGGGCTAGTACTTGGTAACGTAAGTCTTATTTTGCCCCTATTAATCTTTTTTTGAAATTTACTGATGTTAAATAGCAAATTTCAATAATAACGAGTTAAATTGCTAATTTGCAGAATATCAGAGTTTTTTCTTGTGAGTTATCATTGCATTCATATTTTTAGATTTGCTTATACAGGTGACTCAAAAAAATTAATGAATGTATCAATTTATTTTATTCATTAAATCAGGAACGGCTCAAGCCATTTTCATAACAAAATTATGGGAATACAATACTGTTCCAAACCAAGTTGATATACGTGTCCTTTAAAAACGTTGATGAGGTCATCACAAAATTCTGTAAAGTAAAAATTCAACGCAAAACTGCCGGATATGCGAGGGAAGTTCTGTCTGCTTTGACCATTTTTTTTTTAATGTAAAACCTTCTCGAGGACCCCAAATGTCGTTTTTAAAAATGTAAAACCTTCTCGAAGGCCCCAACAGTCTTTTCTAAAATGTAAAACCTATTCAGGGGCACCAAATGTCTTTTTTTAAGAATGTGAAACCTTCTCGAGGGTCCCAACTGTCTTTTTTTAAAATCTAAGACCTTCTCGAGAGCCCTAAATATCTTTTCTTTTAATGTAAAACCTTCTCGGGGGCGCCAAATGTTTTTTTTTTAAGAATGTAAAACTTTCTTGGGGTTCCCAACTGTCTTTTCTAAAAATGTAAAACCTTCTCGGGGGTTCTAAATGTTTTTTTTAAAGAATGTGAAACCTTCTCGGGGGTCCTAACTGTCATTTTTAAAAATGTAAAAACCTTCTCGGGAGTCCCAACTGTCTTTTTCTAACAATGTGAAACCTTCTCGGGGATCCCAACTAACTCTTTTAAAAGTGATAACCTTCTCAAGGGCTCCAAATATCTTTCCTTTTAATGTGAAACCTTCTCGGGGGTCCTAACTCTCTTATCTAAAATGTAAAACCTTCTCGGGGACGCCAAATGTTTTTTTTTTAAGAATGTGAAACCTTCTCGGGGATCCCAACCATCTTTTTTAAAACTGATAACCTTCTCACGGGCTCCAAATGTATTTTCGGGGTTCCCAACCACCTTTTTTAAAAATGATAATATTCTCAAGGGCTCCAAATGTCTTTTCTTTTAATGTGAAACCTTCTCGCGGGTCCCAACTGTCTTATCTAAAATGTAAAACCTTCTCGGGGACGCCAAATGTTTTTTTTTAAAGAATGTGAAACCTTCTCGGGGGTCCCAACCAGCCCTTCTCAAGGGCTCTAAATGTCTTTTCTTTTAATGTGATACCTTCTCGGGGGCCCCAACTGTCTTTCCTTTTAATGTGAAACCTTCTCGGGGGTCCCAACTGTCTTTTTACTTCCCGAGCGTAAGCAAAGGAAGTATTGTAATCGAGTCCGTCGGCCGACTCTCTACTTTTACGTTTTCTCGATCTTTCATGACCCCTAGAAGACGAAGAAATAGGTCTCCCATTTCCGTCTGTCTGTCCGTCTGTCCGTCTGTCCGTCTGTCCGTCCGTCTGTCCGTCTGTCCGTCTGTTGTCCCGGATTTTTATTAGACAGATAATCTCCGAAAGTACTCGACCGATTGTTGTGAAATTTTGTACTTATATTAAGAATATCATGTAGATGGTAAAACGCTAACCAAAATTTGTCTAATCATCCCCACCACTAATGCGATGACGTCACTTCAAAATTGTACATAGTAAATGGGTTTTCAATTGTATAAAATAACATAGTCCTACACATGTAGTTTACAACTCTGAATCGACTTTTCACCCGAAACGTCCAGATTTTTGAAAAAAAAATCAAAATTATAAAACAACATTTTGAAATTTAATTTTTAATCTGCTAACCAGAATGCTTTGAAATGTTGCAGATGTTTTAAGGCTATAAAGAGCATCATAAATCTTTAGTCAAAAAATATTTGCTTATCCCCTCCAAAAACTTGATGACGTCAGCTCAAAAGTTTGTGGAATAAATCATATCTAAAATGTACAAAATATGATGAGTCTGTACTTGTGATCTATCACTCCATTCATATTTTTTGGATTTGCATATACAGGGTGACTCAAAAAAATTAATGAATGCGTAAATATATTTTATTGATTTAATCAGGAACTACAAAACCGAATGCTCTGAAATCTTGCAGATGTTTTAAGGTCATAAAGAGCATAATAAATGTTTAGTCAAAATATATTTGCTTATCCCCTCCAAAAACTTGATGACGTCAGCTCGAAAATTTGCCGAATAAATCATATCTAAAATGTACAAAATATGATCAGTCTGTACTTGTGATCTATCACTCCATTCATATTTTTTTGGATTTGCATATACAGGGTGATTCAAGAAAATAAATGAAAGCGTAAATTTATTTTACTGATTTACTCAGGAACTACAAAACCGAATGCTTCGAAATTTTGAAGATATTTTAAAATTATCATAAGCATGGTAAATTTTTGATCAAAACGTATTTGGTCGTCCCCCCTAAAAAATTTATGACTTCACCACAAAATTTTGCTGAATAAATCCTATCAAAAATGTATAAAATATGGTGAGTCTCTTCTTGTGATTTATCATTCCATTCAAATTTTTTCGATTTGCATATACAGGGTGACTCAAAAATATTAATGAATGCGTAAATTTATTTTATTGATTTAATCAGGAACTACAAAACCGAATGCTTTGAAATCTTGCAGATGTTTTAAGGTTATAAAGAGCATAATAAATTTTTAGTCAAAATATATTTGGTTATCTTCTACAAAAAACTGATGACGTCAGCTCAAAAGTTTGCCGAATAAATCGTATCTAAAATGTACAAAATATGATGAGTCTGTACTTGTGATTTATCATTCCATTCATATTCTTGGATTTGCATATGCAGGGTGACTCAAAAAAATTAATGAAGGCGTGAATTTATTTTATCGATTTAATCAGGAATTACAAAACCGAATGCTTTGAAATCTTGGGAATATTTTAAAGTTATTATAAGCATGGTAAACTTTTGTTCAAAATGTATTTGTTCATCCCTCCTAAAAAAATTGATGACGTCACCCTTAAATTTTGCTGAATAAATCCTATCTAAAATGCAAAAAATATGATGAGTTTGTACTTTTGATTTATCATTCCATTCATATTTTTTAGATTTTCTTAAGAGGTCGTTCAAAAAAATTAATGATGTCAATTTATTTTATTGATTAAATTAAAGGCAACACTTAATATTATTAGTGTTACACCCCAACCAACCCAATTTGGTAGACACAAAATTTGTTAAAGGAAAAACTCGGTTGAAACATAAGGGTAGCACGCTTATTTACATCGACTTTAACATTACAGACCTGCATTTGTTTTATGCGATCACTTGGTTCCGCGAATGTGAAATAGACATGTTTATAATCAACCAATTGTGAATTTCACCGTCAAGAATTAAAATAAAACCCAATGTTTTATATAATAAGCGGAAGTCGAAGCAATAAAACCGACGGTCGTTTTGTTTACAGTTTCTCTGTTTGACTCTCACGTATGCTGGTACGCCTGTCATCTTAAATTAAGAATGTTTATACATACACGATTTTCAGTTGCCTCTGATACGTATACGTGAGTAAATTGTTTCGTTATTTTATTGATTATAAAAAATCAATATTCAAAACGACCCAATTCATTTTCCCGAAAATTTGGGAATACAATAATTTTATTCTTAGAATTAGACTACATCTATCCCAATTGATATACGTGTCCTTGCAAAAATGTTGACGTCATCGCAATTTTTTTTAAATTCCCACTACAAAAATGTAATGAGAAAAAAACACAATAGCCATGCAGTCGTCAAGTTTCCGACAGCGAGGGAAGTACTGTCTAAACTCTTTAGACCAATTTTTTAAAAATGTAAAAACCTTCTCGGGGGTGCCAACTGTCTTTTTTTAAAAGTGTGAAAACTTCTCGGGGATCCCAACCAACTTTTTTAAGAATGATAACCTTCTCAAGGGCTCCAAATGTCCTTTCTTTTAATGTGAAACCTTCTCGGGGGTTCCAACTGTCTTTCCTTTTAATGTGAATCTTTCTCGGGGGTTCCAACTGTCTTTTTTACTTCCCGAGCGTAAGCAAAGGAAGTATTGTAATCGAGTCCGTCGGCCGACTCTCTACTTTTACGTTTTCTCGATCTTTCATGACCCCTAGAAGACGAAGAAATAGGTCTCCCATTTCCGTCTGTCTGTCCGTCTGTCCGTCTGTCCGTCTGTCCGTCTGTCCGTCTGTCCGTCTGTCCGTCCGTCTGTCCGTCTGTCCGTCTGTTGTCACGGATTTTTATTAGACAGATAATCTCCGAAAGTACTCGACCGATTGTTGTGAAATTTTGTACTTATATTAAGAATATCATGTAGATGGTAAAACGCTAACCAAAATTTGTCGAATCATCCCCACCACTAAAGCGATGACGTCACTTCAAAATTGTACATAGTAAATGGGTTTTCAATTGTATAAAATAACATAGTCCTACACATGTAGTTTACAACTCTGAATCGACTTTTCACCCGAAACGTCCAGATTTTTGGAAAAAAAAT